AGCAACAGCAGCAGCAGCAGCATCTTTCAGGGCAAGAAAGCAGCTGCTGCAAGGGGGCCCCGTGCTGCTGTGCTCGCCGCAGCGGGGGCACTCCATCCGTTCTAATAGATAACGCAGGAGGGCCCCCAAAGCCTTCTTGGGGGCCCCCAAGGAGCAGCTGGGGGGCCCCTCCCTGCAGCAGACTGCAGCAGCAGAAGCCTCGACCAGCTGCAGACACCTGCGGTAGCAACCGCTAACCGCTGTCACAGCAGCAGCAAACGAAGCGTCTCCTGCATCAGCAGCATCTGCTGCAGCAGCACCTGCTGCAGCAGCAGCAGCAGATAGAGGCACGTCCCGGGGGCTTGGTGGGGGCAGCTGCAGCTCCACTACCAGCGGGGTAGTTTGGTTGGCGAGGAAGCAGCGCAGCCCCGTAACAACAGCAGCAGCAGCAGCAGCAGCAGCAGGAGGTTGCTGCAGCGCGAGGGTTATGGTGTTGAGACTGTGAGGGAGTTTGCTGCTGCTGTGCTGCAGCAGAACGGAGACAGAAGGATGAGCAGCAGACACACCCTGCTGCAGATACACCCGATGCAGTTTATCCTTTTGTAAGGGGGGGCCTCCCACTGGGGGCAGCAGCACGGCGAGCAGATGGCAGCTACCACCTCTTGCTGCTGCTTCGGCTGCTGCTGCTGCTGCTGCTGCTGCTGCTGCTGCTGTTGTTGCGGGTGCTGCTGCTGGGCGTTCAACAGGCAGAGAGTGCAGCTGCTGCGGCATCAGACACATCGCCTCAAACCAACTCAGACGACGAGCAGCAGCAGCAAAGGGGCCCCGCTGCAGCAGCTGCTGCTGCAGCAGCGTCGAGTCTGCAGCGACCCCCAACGTCTCCTTGCGTTCAGCATCACCTCGGCAACTCGCCCTGCTGCTGCTGCTGCTGCTGCTGCTGCTGCTGCTGCTGCAGGAGATGCAGCCGCAATTGCTGCGAAGACACCCTGGGCATCCATCACAGAGGAGACGCCGTAAAAACGGCCGCTGCTGCTGCTGCTGCTGCTGCTGCTGATGCTGCTGCTGCCTCTCTGAGCTATTGGTATCTTCCTGGGGGCGGCAGCTGTATTTGCTGCTGCTGCTTCTCTCAGCAGTACAAGCAGCAGAAGTAGCAGCAGCAGCGCCAGCGGCCGGCATGTCCTCTGGCGTTTCTGCTGCTGCTGCTGCTGCTGCCGCTGCTGCAGGTGTGGGGCCCCATAGCTTGGCTTTGAGGATCGCCTGGTGTACTGAGGGCAGCAGCATTTTGCTTCCGAGTGCAGCATGAAGATGCCGCAGCAAGAAGCTAGCAGAGTCTGCTGTTGGTGCTGCAGCAGCAGACAATGTAAGCCGGCCCTGCTGCTGCTGCTGCTGCTGCTGCTGCTGGCGGCGCGGCTGCAGCATCGGGACCTCAAATGCAGCAGCTGCAAACTGCTGATGCTGCTGCTGCAGCAGAAGCTGTAGAGTCTGCAGCAGAACAACACACAAAGGCAACCCGAGAAGCATGCAGCAGCTCAGCAGCAGGTGCAGCAGCAACAGCAGCAGATGCAGTAGCAGATGCAGCAGCAGCTCCAATGGAAGCCCTACCGCCTCCTGCTCCTGCAGCAAGCGTGCTGAAGTTGTCTCTCCTCGTGCTGCAGCAGACGGAGGCGATGGCTGTTGCTGCTGT